ACTGTGTATTAGTGATTGGTGGGACACATTTGTAACATTTTATAGTAAAAATCATCCAGCTCACCTTACCTTCCTATTGTAACATTGTGAAAGCAAATATTTTTTTTTTGATAAAGATACAATGTGTAACGAAAAAAATTGACCTCCGATGATGCAAAATTCAAAAGCATATATTTTCACGAATAAGCAATTAAATCCCATCCAATTAAATCAAACAATCATACTAAATCCCTGTGTTATAAAAACAAACCTTTTGAACCATCAATCTTAGTTTTGTCAACATAAAAAAATGTCATCAAACAAGCTCGACTTGCAACGTTCAACGCTTCTTTATTATTGGAACCAAGGAATACATTCCCCAAAGGAACTTCACACAAAAACTAACATTCCCCTATCAACAGCCAATATAATAAAAGAAACCGGGGATGCGGGTCTGATTCATTTCGTCGACAGTCATTTCGTCGAATGTTCATTTCATCGAAAATTATTTCGTCCCCAAAAAAAAAATTTAGTCGACTAAATAGTCAACTAAGATAATCAAAGAAAATTTTGACCAACTAGTAGTCGACCAAGGATTTTTTGGACGATTCCAACCTCTACATCATCTGGTAGTGTATCCATGACTTATGATTCTTCACAACTAAATTTAAATTGGTAATAATTGACTATTGTGTTGGCAATTAATATCTAACAAATATAATGAACTAAAAAAAGTTGCTGCTTACTAATTATTTACAACCATGTTGGAATTAAAAAGAAGATTATACAACTCAATATTACAAGAATAAAATTTATGCCTTTAATATTAATTATTAATCAAAAATAAAAGTTATAATATCAATAACAACAATATATTTATCTTGTGGTTGGCTTGTCTAAAGACCTCCTAAATCTACAAAAATTTTAAAAGTATAAAAGTCACTTTCTATCATACCTTTTTAAAAAATAGCTTCATTAGTTGATAGAATAGGTCTCTAGTTTTAATGTAATGAAGAGATTTTTGTTTTAGAGTCCTATTCTTTGTGCATGTATTTTACTATTACTAGTCGCGGGACATTGCGCAACTACAGGGAGCCCATTAATAAAAATTTTTCGAGGGAATTTTATGCGAAAAAATGAAAAAAAAAATCACGCTTGCATCAATCATTTCTTGAATTATAAAAAATATGAAAAACTTTTATTTGACATATTTTTTTTCCAGGTAAACAAATAACACTTTAAGAAAATCTTGACACAAAGTTGGACATTTGTTATATATATATATAATGACGTACACGCATACCTTTTGGAATAAGCGATAGCTAAGTAATATTCATTTCAGACAATTTTAATGCTTTTTAGGTCGAGTTTAAATCCGCATAACAGATTTAATTTTTAGAGTAGTTATTAATTAATTTATTGTTTTTCTTGCTATTCCTTTAAATAGGATTTCAAACAAAGATATTTGAAGTGTAATTTAATGCTATTTATTTTTCCTATACTACGTATTACTTTAAATAGGATTTCAAAGAAGATATTTAAAGTGTAAATTTATTTTTCCTATTATAATTACGGTTAAAGACAACTGTCGTAATTGGCAATGGTAACTACCATTATAAAATATTTACGACTGCCGCAAACAAATACGGCAGTCGTAAATAGATGCGGTTTCCACAAACAGTAAGGCTGACGAAAATAGCTACAGCTGCCGCAAACAGATACGGCTGCCGTAAATAGCTACGGCTGCCGCAATTTTTATTTTTACACATATAATTTCATTGTAAATGAATGACCAACTGATTTAATTCATCAATTACAATTCAGTTACTGTAGATCTCAAATAATTCAAGAAAATTTTCGCAAGACTAATATGACTAATAATACTAATGATAGTAACTGAAAACTATTTGCGGAAGCTGTAATTCTTTACGGCAAATAGCAGCTAACAACAGCCATTCACAGCAATGGGTAGCTACCAGCTCAATCATTTACGGCAAGTGTCTTTAGCTGGGACAAAAACATATGGGAACAAAGGAGGGGGATATAAATGGATAAGGTGTATATATATATATTTTTTTTTTTTTTGAATTTACCTTTTGCAACTACAGTAATATCTTGTTTTTGAAAATTTTGTATTCATATCAATTCGATAATGATTAGTGCAGTATCTGACGTCACTCTATTATACAAATTAATCATCAATTAACGAATAAATAAATTTATTTTTTGTGTAAAACTGTTTACCAAGTATATTTATATGCTTTACTAATTTCTAATAAACTACAAAATTCACTTGACTTGAGATAATTTTTCTTTGGTTTGTAAATAATATTATTGATATATTATTGTTTGCAGTTATTATCGCCATTATTATTATCATCAATATTGGCATTGTTGTTGTTATTATTAGTATTGTTATTACTATTACCGCTGCTACGATTATTATTGTTATATCATTATTGTCTATATTAGTGATGTTAGCCAGTAGAAAAACCTTAGCCGGCTAAGCCGGCTAAGAACTTGAATAAATTTTTTATCTAATACAGTGCGGATCATCTATACTCAAAAGTTAAAATTTTTGAAATATTATGTGATCTACACATTG